AGGCCAGATGGGTTCAGTATTGTCTCTAGCTACCTATTAATGAATATTAAAGTCTATGCTCTCATTATAGCCAAAAATAAAAACAACCTCCATCCTTCTCTATACAGGCTTTATTTTCGAGGAATTCGGAAACTTGATCCCTTATTGACCAATGGACAGAATTTATACAATTCCCTCTTTTCTCGGCAAAGGAAAACTGAGAAAGGAAAAGTCTAAAAAACACTACCAAATTTTCCTAGTCATCAAATGCTCCTTTGCAACTTACAAAAATTAACCAGGTACGACCACCCCTTTAAATGTACTTGAAATCCTACTGCCCATGGCTAAGCAGGTGTGTTAGACCAGGAGATGTCCTTCATTTTCTCAAAATAGAGTTGTTTGGTAGTTAAAACACTTTTGTTTCCAGAAAACACAACATAATCTCGCATTTGAACACCATATAAATTAAAAAGAGACTAAATATTAACTTCTAAAGGAAAAACAACAATAGGGTAAGAAAGACCACGAGATTGAAATAATGCAAATAAATGAAAGATTTCAGACAAGTCAACAAAATTATTAACTGATGCATTTGACCAACAACAACAAGCCCAATGAAATCTCACAAGTGGGGTTTGGGGAGGGTGAAGTGTACGCAGGCCTTACCCCTACCTAATGAAGGTAGAGAGGTTGTTCCCGAAAGACCCTCGGCTCAAAAGAAGTGAAAAAACTGATGCATTTGACCAGGAACCTAAATTTCCAGTGGCCCGAAATTTCACAAGAAACAACAAGGAAGTAGGTCAGATGATATAACTACCTATTTAACAAAAAATGTAAACTAAAACAACCTAAAAGAAATTATGCTACTCAGAGGGTTGTCCAGAACTTCATATTGCAGCTCTGCCTGAACTTAAATCTAACTCCCACTGCATCTAAAACAAAGGTCTAGAGACTTAAACGGTAAAAGGACACCCTAGAGCTCGATTTCTTTGTGTTTTAACAATAACAAGTGGAGCAAGTAAATCAGGGACCAGACTATTTGCAGCTTACTGGGAAAAAAATACTAACTAGCATTTTCTAGGTTTTACATGATACTTGAGTGTCTACTTCCTGAATGAATAAACTTCGGAAATATAAAAGTTTTCTTTGGGTAAAAGGTTACAGATGTGCCATTAATCTCACTTTTAGCTTCCGTACCGATAATCAGCTAGGCTCTTTTATAATGGTGGACAGTGGTGCCCGGTCAACTCAACACAACTATTATATCGATAACTTGCTACCACTCACCAACACATACCTTTAACTTTGCCTAAGCTTAGACAATGGGATGATATGAGATCACCTAATTTTTTATGTCAGTGCTTGGATTTGATGGCCGGCCTCTAAGGTTTACACTATGGTTGTCTAAGGGGAGGGGGTTTGGTTAAAGGGAACGGGGGACTGGGAGGGTACCAAAAAAAGTACCGGTCCAGTTGGTACCTTTAACGTTTTTATAGGTGGTTGTTTTTATACTGTTAGCCAACGGTTATTTTTTTAAAAATAGCCATTGGCCACGACCAAAACGGCTATTTTGCCTCCTTAGCTCCCTCACACCCACACCCCCTAATTTATGTTTTTAACCCCTAAGTTTGTTCAAATACACTTCGGCCATATTTTAAAACTATAAATACCCCATTTCATTCTTTCAATTTTCATACAAAACTCTCATATCTCTCTAATTCTCTATCTCTAATTGCAATTAACGTTCTAGCACTCAATTATTTTGGTATAATTTTTCAAGCATCAACATCAAGTATTTGGCGGCGTTTTTTTTTTTTTTGGGGGGGGGGGGGGGGGGGCACTACACAACTAGTCCGATTCTTTCAAGAATGGGCCGACATGTGCTAACTATTCAAGCTTCATCAGTAGCTTCCAAAGTCGCTTTCAGTGCAGCACGATTTCAAATTGGAGACCACAAATACTCATTGGCAGAAGACACCTTGGATACTACAGTTTTATTCAGAGATTGGATTAAAGCAGAGAGAAGAAACTTTGGCCTACCAGAAATAATTCAAGAAGACAATGATGCATATAACGAAATACTATCTACTGTAGATGGCGAGAATACAGAAGAACAAGTGCTACCAATTCCAGGCAAAGAACCACGAAAAATTATTTAACAATTACATAAATCGTTCAAAAGAAATATGTAATTTTATTTTTACAAGTGTTGAAATACAAATAAATACTTGTAACTTATATTAAAAATCTAATGTTTACATTGCATTAAATAAAATAAAAGGCTCTTCATAGTCTTGAATCTTTTCATCCATTAAAGTTTGTTTGTATTTAAATATAATATTTTTTAAAATTTTAATTTCAAAAATACCCCTAAGTACCCTGCCTCCCCCTTAAGTAACCCCCTAGGATCGGCAGAGGTACTGGTACGGTACCAATAAAAATACCCTTACCCCGTATCCATAAATCCCTGTAAACGAAGTCCCCTTAAGGAACCCCCCCCCCC